CGTAGTTGATCTAATGCTTTAGGAACCACGGTTAGAGTTTCACGTTCGACTTTCGGTTTCGTGGTATATTTTCCGGTCTTCTCGTCCCAGTTACAATTATTGGGTAGAACAAGGGGTGTGGCAAGCTTTTCTTGCTTTGATGCCATCGCGGTTCTGTACTTGGCAATGACGTAATTAATCAACAATCAATCAGTCAATCAACTCAGTAATCAATAAATATAATCAACCAATAAGTCAGTCAATCAATCAATCAATAATTAATCAACTATCAATCAACTCAGTAATCAATAAATATAATAAACCAATCAGTCAGTCAGTCAATGAATCAATAATTATTGTTTTTACCAAAGGGAATAGTCACTTAATTAACTATAAATCTGTGAATTACTGAGTCTTACAGCATTAAAAATATATTTATGCAGTCATTGTAAACAACATTCCTCGTGTATGAAAATGAAAGTGCATAAGTTGCAGAATTAGGTAATATTTTACTTACAGTACAGTGTGTACACAGAACCGTGAAAAACGTTAAACCTCGTTAAATTTGTTTTCATAACAATACAGTGTTTTTTTCTACCCTCGCTGTTTATGCACGTTTACGTTGACCTTTGTTACTGAAGCTATTTTGACGCAGACTCTACTTTGAACTAGAATACCAAGAATTAAGTCGAGTTTTCCCAAATATTTCCTTACTTCTTATTGGAATATACCATATGTATCGTTTGTACTACTGTTTTGAATTCAATTCTGAATTGAAGACTCTGTCGTGCAAGGTTATCCCGTCAAATACCTCGCTCACCAAGCATGTAATTAACGCAAAAATAGCATTTTTTTCGTGGTCACTCTTTTGACAAATATCTCGGTTACTAAAGTATGACCTACACACAATTAATACGTAAAAATACAACAACGTACCTGAATATCTAGCTTCRTATGTGGAAKGCTTACTCCTTCGCTTTCGTTGTTCGTATGACGGTATTCAAATGACTAGATTCTTTATAAATAAATGTATTATTCTAGTAGGGGAAGTCCCTACTTCGATTCCTAGAAGAAACCATCACATCGGAGCATGCGCGAAGTCATTTTCGACAATTTATTGTCTTTGATGTTATTTTTTGTCACTGAGCAACCTGTAGATCTTCAATTTTCAGTGATTCGAGTGCTTAGCAATGCAAAAAGAAAATAATAATGAAAATACGACAGAAACAAACAAACAAATAAATAAAAAAATGTATTTTAAAAATGCTTGCCATGCTCCTTTTGGTCTAGTTTTTTCTCCTTTGAATGTATAAATTCACACATCCCCGGTTCTAAGGCGTTCGATACGTCAGTAAGTCATATTTTTTCACCTACTTTATACTGTGCGAAATCAAGATTCTTCCGGCTGCAGGCACACTCAGTCGTCGTCTCGCTTTCATGCAAGGACACACGAGAAAACCTGGGAAAACTGCGAAGAAGACTCTTGTGAATGGAAATTATCAAATGGAACCAGTACAACTATCGCTAAATGTAGTTGTGTACCCTTATATGGGGTAAATAGAGGGATTCGGGATTTCATACTCTCACCATTTAAGAACTCGTCATAAACTAATTCCTTTATTTGTTTATCAAAATGCTAATAGTTATTTTCACTACGTGATATAACATATATCATCTCACAAACTATTCTTAATTACATACATCAGATCAGATAGAACTAGTGTGTAACCTCTCAAATGAGAGCACTTGTATTCTTGTTCAAAGGTATAGAAAAACATGTGCTAAGAACAACTTATCTTCACTGTCAGGCCTGTCGGCAGTGTTATGATTAAACGCTATCTATTCAGTTTTACGCCTACAAATAGATCGAAAACGAAGATTATGGATAAAAATTGTCAGCGATTGAATATATCAAATCGTTCGTAGACATGCGCAATACAAATCTTGTGTCGTCATCCGTCATCGGCTTCGATTCCAGGGATCAGAATGGCCAATTCAAATAGTCGTTAAGAATAGGAAATTGTTTTTCAACATCGGGAGAAGGTGCAGTATCAAAACGCATGGTCATTGTGACAGGACGATCAGAAATAGGGATATTCCAGTACTGATCGCAGTTAACTCTGGGAAACACCTCATCAAAGACTGTGGGATGAACCAAAATACGTGGTTCGTCAAACATGGGATACAAACAAGAGGCAATGTGGATCCTATACTTTCTATCTAGTTGCACACCAGCAACTGCCACAGCAACGCACAGAATAACGAGCGGTAACTCATCAATGTTTGTTGTTTCTGGCAAGAAGGGTACACAAATGCCACGGCGTGCTTGTCGTTGTAACATAGAATGAAGTTCTTGCATATCTCTCCAAGCATCCTCTAATGGTGAGACCCGAGTGAAGACCACATTTGGAATCAACGTGTTATCCCTCGGGAGATCGTTTGGCCACTTCGTTAAACGCTGGTCTTCATGAAAGAAACCATTGAAGGCAATATTATCTTGTGATATTTCCCCAGTTACTATTCCATAAGCAGCATTTGCATCGAGCCTCGAGCCCCAAGGCACATATAGATTAATAGACTCGATCTGCTCATCGTTCCAGTAGTGCGATATGCATTTCAGTAGTGGTCTACAAACTCCACCGTGAGCAAGAAAAGTTAAATCCACAACTTCGCCTCTCCTTGGAGTGTTAATTCTTTCGTATTCTTCGAGAATGGGTTTTACGAAACTATGAGCTCGAGCTAAGGCATTAAAAAGGGAAGGATCATCTTGTTGAGATCCTTCTATAGAACTTCTCCAAGATGGGGAGCATGCATTATTTAAGAGGCTGCGCAGTTCATCAAGTTGTTGGGGAGGTATGTCATTGCCACAGGAAGTGTTCTCTAAGAATTTTTTTAACGTGTCCATTAGCTCCACATCGAAGCCTTCCTTCAAAGACCTGTAAGAAATGAGATTAAACTTTAACAAAGGAGTAGTTGAATCGAGGGCATATAATGCTGTGATAGTGTACTTGTTTACTTGAGAGTATTATAAATATACCTTTCCATTTTCTTAGTAATCGTTTGCTTCGTGGAAGGACCTATCATTATTTCGCTCTCCATTCCGGATATCTGCTAAATAGAACAATAAAGCTGCAATCATAAGTAACACATTGAATCAGTTTTCATTGCTATTCGTGGGCTGTACATGTATCTCGTATTTTTCTAAAATTAGAAATTCAAGGGCTATAATGCCAAGACTGAGGAAATCATTTAGTATGTATTCAGTCTTCATACTGATTTTAATACAAACCGTTCTTTCTCTTATTAAATCACAAAATCTCTTTTATTAAAACTGAATTCATTCTGAAATGTCGTGTAGTACACTATGCAGGGAATATCGAAAGATGACTGACCTCACTTTTCTGTCTCCTTTCCTCTAATGCAGCTTTAGCGGCTTTTTCCTTAGCTAGGGACTCGTCGTAGTCTTTCATCTGTTGCACGACTTCAATGTTCTGCTCCTTCTGAAAAATGTAAAAAACAGCAGACAAGGTCTCGTTATCAACTCAAGTTTGTTCCACTGCAGGTTCAACCTCATTCTTCCTGGACTTACCAGTGTAGCAATCAGGTTGTCCATTTGTTCTCGCTGAAGTTGTATCTCTTTATCTCTACTCTCTAGTGATGATTTCATCATGTCGATCATGTCTTCCATGGTGTTCTGACGAGCCAAGGCAGCTTCTCTGTCTTTTCTTTGCTCTTCAAAGTTTGCCTCCATCATGTTTGTTAGCTGTTCGCGCT